AAGAGAGAGATAGAACAGAGGCCAAAACATCGACCGGATTTCACGCTCCAGCTCGGACACCGCGAGGACAAGAAGTAGTTTGGAGAAAAATGCACAAATAAAAAAATCAAATACGCCTCAAAGCCCTCATTAAACAGGAGGCTGTTTGAAATATTCACATGGAAAGAAGCAGAGAAGACTCCATATAAAGACAGATGGATAATTGATCACTTCATTACCTTTGTTATGACAGCCTCAGTCGGCGGTACATTTTAACTTGGTCCGCGACACGGTGGCGACGAGCAGCGCAACAAGAATCATGTGGGAGAAAGATGTAAATTCCTTCATCCTGCTTCAGAATTAAATAATACATTCAAAATGTGTTGCAACAAACAAACACTATATTCCTGGAGCGGGTCCTCCTCCACGATGCCAATACTCAGGTAGTTCCTCCGGTGGCTAACAAGGCTCTTAGATCGAGCAGCTGAGTCGCACTCCCCGGAGCGACTGCCGCTCCGCCCCAGTGATTCACTGACCCGCTCCGAGGCTCGAGCTGCCGCTCCTCCACTTCACTGCCATGAGCTGCAGCAGGAGAGAGAGAGAGAGAGAGAGAGAGAGAGAGAGAGAGGAGAGAGAGAGAGAGGAGAGAGAGAGCTGCCCCTCCTTTACGCACAGATAGCTCTCTCAAAACTAGGCAAGCGCTCTCACAGATGATTCATCATTTCAAAATCATCCGGAAGTAGAGTGCGTTTAGAAACATAGAGTAGTGTAGAAGAGCCTGAGAAACTTTTACACTTTAATGTGAGGTGTTGAAGCTGAACTCAAGATAAATAAAGTCTGACTTCATTTAAATTACAAAAACACTTCACCTGGTTTTTTGTATTTTTAGTGAACTGTCCTGTTGGAGCTCTAAGAGAATAATGAATGAATGAATGAATGAATGAATGAATGAATGAATGAAATGGAACAAAACTGATAAACAACAATATTGAAACATATGCAACATTTTCTGTCCGACTGTGAGCCCTGTGCATACTTGGCCTTCCTTAACTCCTACAGCACAACTAGTTTAATTAAGCTGTGGGGTGTAACCCCCCCCCCCCCCCCCCTGCTCCTGTGTGGATCTATGCACAAGCAGCCCTAGAATGAGAGGACGCCAATTCGAGGTGACAGTGGTACTTTAGGAAGAGGCTCCTGAAAACATGAACATGGGGGGGGGGGGGGGGGGGGAGGGGGGTAAAGTCAGAGGTGAGATTAAACTAGTTGTGCTGTAGGAGTTAAGGAAGGCCAAGTATGCACAGGGCTCACAGCGGACAGAAATGTTGCATGTTTCATATTGTTGTTTATCAGTTTTGTTCCATTTCATTCATTCATTCATTCATTCATTCATTCATTCATTCATTCATTCANTGAAGGACTTGTATTTGTCTGTGGAAGACGTTTCGCCTCTTATCCAAGCGGCTTCATCAGTTCTCATCTGTATTGGTCTCTCTAGTCCGCACTAGTCTGACAAACGTCTTCCACAGACAAATACAAGTCCAGTTGCCTTCAATTTAATTTGAGAGAGAGATACCTTAAAACATGAATCAACAGGACAAACAAGGTGATGACAGCTAAGAGACACTGTCAGTGTAATACTCTGACTCCCCTTCCCTCCCCCCTGTCTCCCCCTCACCCTCTGACTACCC